TTTGGCTCAGACCTTCCGAGGCTAAACTTTAAGGTCAGATGCTAGAAAAAATAGGGATGTCGATTTTGATTGGCTGAGAAGAATGTGGGAATGATAGAGTTAGAAAGTGTTTTCTTAGAGTTAAGTTTTTACATGTCATACACATTAGACGTGGTTATTTCGGGTCTCAGCCAACTTGCTCCACAGTGGGTGTGATAGTGAGATCACACTTGCTAGTTAAAATGTAGACATTGACGTATTTAATATAATAGCTACGATCAAAATCCCTTTTCTTGAAGTTCTCATTTTATCTCCGATCAAACCAACTAGTGATCACCGGACCGAAAAGGAAGAATGTAGCTTTGTTGTAGAATTGACCCCAACAACCAAAAGACCTCTTTAACAATATTTTTAATCTATTAAGTATGTGTGGCACACTTTTCAGACTTCATCAAATTACCTGCAACCCGACTGAAGAAATGCGATGTCAATTATTGCCTGCATGCAAGGATGCCTAGATAGATATAAATACATTTGTACCTAGAAGACTTAGAGGAAGAGAGGAGATACTTTTTATTGGATACATTGTTTTGGCAGTTTCTTTACTAACGTATAAAGTTCATTTTGACTGACACAGTGCATGTAATTTTAATATACGCTATTATTAACATTTGCGTTAACATTTTATTCAAGTTGATATCACGAAAAATTATATCCACATTCCAAACGGATACGCTTAGGAATTTTCAGCAAGAAATTACCCAGCAATTATTTCGATTAACCGGGCTATTTAGAACGATTATTTCGCTACTTATTTCATAAATTATCTCAGAGTAAATTAGTCTGATACTTAATTGAAAAAGTGGGCTGAAAACATGAAATCTAATGTCAAAATTCGAAATGATGCAAATTTATTATCATTTATCATGTATTTAAATTAAATTAAATTAAATTCAAATTAATTATAAACAGATGCACGTTATTTACAAAATTTATTACGCAAAATTAATCGTTCTATTAGAACAAACGTTTCTATCTTCGTCTTACTTCGCTTCTTCCGTTCAACAATCGATATCCTGCAACATTTCCATCGAAATGTTTAGCTTAAAGGTCATGTTTTTGCGTCTCTCATGAACTTATCTTTTTTGGCTTGGCTTATTTTGAGTTATTTTATGTCAACAACATTTTTAGGATAGATTCGAATGAATAGAGTATGTAATTCTTTGGTTTAGATTGGTTTGGTTTATTTTGTTTTACGGTATATCAACCTCAATGGGTTATTTAATGCCGACAACATTTTTAGGATAGATTCGAATGAATAGGGTATGTATTCTTTGGTTTAGATTGGTTTGGTTTATTTTGTTTTACGGCATATCAACCTCAATGAGTTATTTAATGCTGACAAAAATTGTTATTACTGGTAATATTTTGTTTTATCAAAAATCTGTTTCTGGTAATATATTTCCTTCAAAATTGTATTGCTGGTAATAATTTTTCCTTAAAAATTATTGCTGATAATAGTTAACTATTTGCCCATAGCTGGGACCCTAACAGCTGCTACCACCCCGCGTAGACCTGGGAACACCAGCAATTAAGAAGTGGTTCCACGCTTCTCATAACCTTCTGATCAGAGGCCTTGCTGCTGAACGAATTTTAACGTCTTACCCAGGACGCGGATGTATTTTAACGTCTTACCCAGGACGCACTTATCTTTTTTGATTGGCGATTAGAAACCTGAAGATGACGAAGAAAAGTTTGAATAATTCATTTAAGAAAAATTGGTTCAATGTTTGTCTACAATGAAACGAAAAAAGTGAAATATTTTTATTAAGTTATCTTCAGCTATTAAATGGTTATACAAATCTGAAAACACTCTTAGCTGTCAATAAAATAAATGGCAGATGTCTTTAACTAGAACGACCATATACGGGATTCTATACCCAGAATCTTCCTAATAGCTTGGTCGTGAAATTTATTATTTCTCAGCTTCTGTCGAATCTGAACTAAAAATAATAAAGGACGTTACACATAATAATGAAAAACTAACAATGGTGTTGCCATATTGTGCAAACCAGCTGAGAGAAGTTTTATCAAAAATCAATTCCCAGAATACCGAAGATTTTAAAATTTCACTACCAAGGTCGGGTGAAGTTTCAGTGTGAACTGCAAGATCCTTAGCTGCATAATATTTTTTTGCTACCAATCAATGCTGAAAAACGCAGTCTGTTTTACTATTACCCCAATGCTTGGGAAATAGCTTCACATTAGCCAACTTATATTTACTAGCAATGATGAATCCTGGAATACTATACTAAATGATGCAGCACCTCCAAAAATCAATGGATGAATGAATTGTAAAGGTTAGATAAATATTTTCACATAGATATTGTGATAAGTACTGATATATATATATATATATATATATATATATGATAGTATTATTAAACTGTTGTACTATTTGTAGACGATCTGTATTATAATTTAAGAACTTTAAATTTTAGTCAATTATCCATTAATAATTTAAACATTTAAATGTAATTTACGACACACTAAGCCCTACTTTAGACATTATTAATTAATTCAACTGTCTCCTTGCAATATATCTATTGGATGCATTAGAACCATGTGTTAAGGTTGAATATGCTGGGTTATATTTTTCTGCGATAATAAAAGACGAAAATGACTTCAATAAGCATCGACTATTAATTTCATTTGAAATAGTTCTTTTATTCACAAATATCCCATCAAATAAAAATGTCCAAAATGCAAGTAATGAATTTATTCAGGTTCTTCACGTCATTAATTCATGTTTTGTCTAATAGGAACAATTGAGTGAATTGATGAAATGCAGATGGGGGTCACCTTTGCTGCCGCTTTTTCTCATTTATTCTTGGGGCATTACGTGGACGTTTAGTTAGAAATTAGGACATGACCAAAATATCACAGTAGGAATGTAGATGGTATCTGATGTATTTTAAAAGAAGAAAAAAGACGTTGACTCTTTTGAGTTTTTTAAATTCACAGCATCAGTACATAATGTTCACGGCTGATTATGAAAAACATAATTGTTTACGATTATTAGGCATCTTAATAGAAATGATAATTCATTTAAAACTAATATTTTTCGCAAAATAACTAATAGTAGTTTACTATTTTCACAAGTCCTTGTTCTTGAAATTTATTAGTTTTGATGGAAATTATTGCAGCTTATTTCTTGAAAATAGACAACACTAACTACGCTAAACTAACGATTTAATTTATGTAGAAATATATATTAACAAAAAACCTGTTTTCCATTAACGTTTTTGCAAAACATTATTAACCGGCAAATACAAAAATATACATTTTATGAATAATAATATTAATCAAAAGCAAAAAAAAAAAAATGAAAAAAAAATGTGACAATACCTTCATACCTTTCCAAAACTGATCAATTTAGAAATTTAATGATTGTATTAAAAATATCTATAGGAATGATGACTTATTGAAGGGCGTTTTTCAATTCAGAATATAGTTTTTTTAATCAATTCACCCCACGTAAAGCGATAATATCACTAAGACGCAACGGATTAGTAAGAAACCCAGCCTTAAGCAGGAAACAAGATATAAACCTCTATTCCTGTTCAAAAGACTAAGGAAGAATGTGAACTGAAAGATAGGCAAACCTATCTAATTATAAATTTAATAAAAGCTTAATGATTCCCAGAGTTTCGAAAAGCTGAGATTTTAATATCATCAAAGACGGAATATGCGATACAAATTAAGATGTTGGCAAATAGTAATATTCAAATGAAGTCTACTATAATATATAATGATTTACTAAGCGTAGCTTACATGTGGTACAACGGCGAAATTATAAAGCACCCAGTGAAGATGTAACTCAATTGTAATTAATCTATCTTGCTAACCATTAGAGACCAGCTTGCTAATAATTACACCACAGGGAATTGACTTGCGAGTTATTAAGCGTGGCTTAGATGTGGCACAAGGCCAAAATATGGAGCACACAGTGTGGATCGTACTATTCAGTTGTAATTAATACAGCTAGACAAGCTTATTAACCATTACACCACATGAAAGTGACCAGCGATTTACCAAGCATAGCTTATATGTGGCACATGGCCAAATGTAAAGAGTACCCAGTTAGTATCGAACTTATTACTCAGTTTTAATTAATCTCAGAAGACAAGCTGGTTAGCCATAACACCACAAGTGCTAAGTCTACTATAACCTGTAAATGTCAGGAATTTTAATACTACAAATTTGTGCATCAATTTCAAGATATTTGGCTCTATTAATAGTTGTTAATAAATAAAGTCATCGTGTAGAGAAACACTTAGAACCATCGAACTACTATTATACTGCGATCACCCTATTATAGGATCACATTTTCTTATAATTATTTTAGATATAACGTCAGTCGTAGTTGTCAGTTACTCAGCATGCCTGTTACAGCTGCTCCGTTCGAAAACTTTATAATTGATCTGTTTTGTCATTTGTATGACGCAAATAGATATCAGGCATGAATTCATGATAGCATTGTTTGCCTGGTCAGAACGCTTATTTTCTCATTATTCATTTCTGCTTGTAACATCAATTCAGTCAGACTTATTTTTTCCACTTAGGATTATGAACGCTGTCAACGAGTGCAAACGCCATTTATTTTCCCCCGGGAAATAAAGTTCTTACACGCTTTGTTGGATTTCATTATGCATATCAATCGTTTCAGAAAAAAAAAATTTTCAACCGCAAGATAGAAATGACGTAATGAAGATACCAAAATTAAGGAAGTAATAAAATTGAAAAAAACTAAGAATTGTTTTAACAGAGAGTAGAAAACGGAATTATTTATTGTTGATAAAATCCAAACGTCTATGTTATATTATTTTGAGTTAAATACTTAATGTAGATGTGAGTAAATAATGCAATGGACATATTGGAAACTCATTACACATGGAACACTGAGAAATAAGGATGAATCTGACCCGTGGAAGATTCCTAATGGTAAATGTCTGAATTATTTAAAACAATGGACCAACATATATAGATAGATAGACAGACAGACAAACAGATAGATAGATAGATAAAAAAATCCAATGCATAATTAGTCTTACCATTTTAAATATATGATTATAAAAAAAATACACTAAATTTAGATCCATGTATTCATTTTACATTATTTATATTTAGATAGACATATTCAGATTGAGATAGATAAATGGTTTTAGAATCAAATAGACAGAATTGATTTTGATATAAAATTCCCCAGTTGTTTTGCACAATATGACAACACCATTTTTAGGTCTTCATTATTCTGTGTAACGTCCTTAATTTTTTTTCATATTCGACAGTTCTGGGGGAACCGCGCTAATAGATTTTGAATGAAAATAGCCCATCTGGATATTTTGTTTGAGAAAATTATGGCTGATGATACATATTAAGTATACTTTGAGTATATATTTAAGAGAAAGCCATAATAATACTGCATGAGTTATTGACATAATGAATTATTTGGACATACCAGTGTCATTTAGATGGATAACTTAAAAAACACTATTAGTCATAGATTCTGTCACATCTTTATCGTAGCAGGTTTGATTTCCTCTGCAGTAGCTTTGATGGTCGCAAGTAAGATATCTTTCGGCGTAAATTTGTGTTCAAGAGCATAAACAAATTGTTTAATGATGGACCAAAGATTTTCGATATGGCTAAGACCCAGAAGGGTAGACGGCCACACAATCAACCTATCCCTATATATGCCGTAAGATTCAAGGAATGCATGGGTGACCTTGACAATGTTGGCCAAAGCGTTGTCATGCATGAATACTAGAAGTGACAGCGGTATGTGATAAAGCCACGGATCCAACACCTCATTTCTAGTTATTCAAGTGCGAGTTTTTCTTTTCTGAGATCAAAGAGCGTTCAACCTGTCCATAATGATCATATAGACCAACGCACTATCAATTAAATTATTGGCCATATTCAAGATTATTTGTTAATATATATATATATATATATATATATATATATATATATATATATATATATATATATATATGTATTATATATATATATATATATATATATATATGTATATACCAACAGAAATTCCATATTAGGTTACCTTCAGCACTATGAATATGTTGCGGCAAATTTTAAAGCAGCTACTGTTTAGTGTCTGAAGATCATATTCATGAATCAAAAGTCACCGAGCCTGATGATACTAAAGCATGAAACTGATAGTTACCATGCAATACTGCTTAATATTTCTACTCTCTCTTTCTTCATAGATAGATATGAATGAATTAAGATAGATAGATATGAATAATTGAGATAAATAGATAGATAGATAGATAGGTATGAACAGATTGATAGATAGATAGATAGATAGATAGATAGATAGATAGATAGATAGGTAGATTTGAATAGATTTAGATAGATAGATAGATAGATAGATAGATAGATAGATATGAATAGAATGAGATAGATCACTTAATCATTGTATATTAGTTGTAGATTTCGGAATTGTTTACCAATTTTTTCAAGGCTAAGGTTAGAAGGAACAGCAAGCAGTGTTGCATTGAATCTATCTTTGATGCTGAACCATGAGAAGTCACCAAGGCTGATGATACTAAAACAGAAAACTGGTAGTTACTATGCAATACTGGTTTATATCTCTACTTTCTCTCTCTTTCGATAGATAGATAGATAGATAGATAGATAGATAGATAGATAGATAGATAGATAGATATTATATATACACCCTCAAACACGCTAAGAGCTAAGTAGTGAAATTTAGAATTTCTCGATTTTTAAACTTTTTCCTGCTGGTTTACACAATATGGCAACACTATTGTTAGCTTTTCATTATTCTATTTACTTTTTTTTTATTTCTCGTCCTGTGTATGATGACAAACAATATCCGCGTCCTGGGTAAGACAATAAACTACGTCCAACCGCAAGGCTTCTGATCAGGAGGTTTTGAGGAGCGTGGAACCACCTCTTACATGAGGAAGTCCAACACTGGTGAAAATAGCATTGCTTTTTTGTCCGTGTTTCCGACGTGACTTTCGGATAATATTCCTTAAATCCGTAGCTGTTATGGTCTTGGAGGTCACACAATTCGATCCTTTCTTCTTTGGTGAAGGATCCCCCAGGAATCGTCTAATCGTCGACAAATAACAACTTAACCTCTCCCCAATGCCATGAAGAGAGGTTCATTTAACAAATTATTCCCGTTCTATTGTTCTTAGAGAGGAGAGACGCTTATCCCCAAACTGTCGAATTTGAAATTTAAAAAAAATAAAGGACCTTATACAGAATAATGAAAACCTAACAATGATGTTGCCATATTGTGTAAACCAGCAGGGGAAAGGTTTGTTAAAACCAACTCACAAAAAGCCGAAAAATCCTAAATTTCACTACCAAGCTTTTAGCGTGATTTGTGGTGTGCATAGATAGATAGATAGATAGATAGATAGATAGATAGATATGTTAATATTTGTCATTTTGGATTTGGGTCTCAACCCAACATAGTGATATTAAGTTATGAAAACTCATCGCAACCTTCTAAAATCCTTTGTTTTTGCTGGTTGCTTGGTGTTGTAAGACATACAAATTGACGAGAAACAGCCGACTTTTTCACACGAGTTCTCTGATAAATGAACTAGTTTTGTACGTTTAACGGGTACAGAAAACGAAAATAGAACGCACATAGGCATTTGGCGTTATATCACTTGTTATCCGCTGATCTCTGACCCTCCCAGGGATATGATACTTCAAACTTGAGATGTTTAACTCTTGATCATGTTACATATCTTAACAACTTTTGACAGAAACCGCTAACGTTATGCTCAATATAAAGGTGTAAGTGAACAAGTTTACATGCCTTATTTTGCAAAACCTAAATAGATGAAATTAAATATTTATAAAATACAAAATATTGCACAGAAAAGCATGAAACCAAATTTAGAGAAATGAGAGAATGCAAGATTATATAACCTTAATTAAAAACATTAGAGTTCTGAAAGAGGCGATTATCATAATCACAAATGATCTAACACGAAGAAATGCCGACAAATACATCTGCGGTATTTTAGAAAACGGGGATATAACGAAAAGATCCAGATATTTATTAAATTATGAAGTATGACTTGCGAAATTGTTTGTGTGTCTGTATAAGCTCTTTCTGGGTATGAGACCTATGTTCGAACGTCACGATTGTCAAGTAGGTGACGTTATTAGAATATTGGGTTGGAGACATTCCCAGCCCACGGCACCTTTAAAACGTGCATAAAAAACATACTAACGTTTAAGCCAAGTCTTTTGAGTAAAACTGGTTGACGTGATTATTCGGAAGCAGTAAATGGATGTGATAGGTCATCGAGGATTTGAGTGTGCTAGCGGTATTAAAAAAAGAAACTGCTCATCTCAGATTATTCGTTCACTCTCAGAAACTGTAACTAATTTCCGCTTAGTATAGTTACTTTATACACCATTACTTGGCTCAGATTTTAACCGTCGTTTTAATAGGCGTTTTCGAACCCTTCTGGGAGACAGGTAATCGATAATAACTTCTTGCTCATTATTATGTATGTACAGATCATAAAGGGGTGCCAATTCAAATTTTTTGAGGCATCAAAAAATCAGAAGGTACCTCTAAAATAAAGAACATCTTCTCAAAGACATATCTGTCCTCCAGGTTCTTTTGTTCATATGATGCGTCATAATGAAGCCGTGGGATTGTTTGACATTATACATCAGCTGAACGTAACATGCTCTTAGTGTGCATTTGATTCCAAATCCTCTGCTGGAGTTAAATGTCATCTTCGTTGCCACAACAGACACATTCTACGGTATCCTGTATCCATTAATAACATAGAGTATGCGTGTTGCATTTGGGTATTTGTTGCCAAAACATATACAGGTCTAGAAAGTCATTTAAGAGCTGCTAAAATTGTCAATCGAAGGTTGATTTAAGAAAATGATCATACTCAAAATTGAATTGACATCTGTTATGTATGTATGCCTGCAATCAATTACAGTCAATCAATTAGTATTTTATTTTTTAAACATTTCACTCTAAGAAGGTAATATAGCCACTAAGACACAAGGTGTTACAGGGTGTGAAAGAAAAAGAAGAGAACTATTATCAAGGAGCGAGAATGATGAAAGAAGCGAAATCAAAAAGACAGAAGATAACGATTGACATTGCTTTTAATTTTTTGAAGATCGAAGTTAGTTATGATTAGAATATATCATTGTGTTTATGTATGAATAGATTATTTGTTTCAGTTTCTTGATACTTTTGTATTAGTATGTATTTGTTTTTAACTCTCCTGAAAATGTTCACTTCTCTTATTTTTACTATTTTCACTTTCTGCCGGCATATAGTTATATATATATATATATATATATATATATATATATATATATATATATATATATATATATATATATATATGAACATTTCTCCGATTTAATCGGTAGAGAAGACAATATTTATGAATAAAAATGACAATAGGAAAACTGGTAATTGCTGACGCATTTCGTCCAATGTGGACTTTATCAAGCAAAATACGAAAATTATTAGATCCTTGTTTCGTATTTTGCTTTGATAAAGTCCACATTGACGAAACGCGTCAGCAATTACCAGTTTTCCTATTGTCATTTTTATTCATAAATATATATATATATATATATATATATATATATATATATATATATTAACTCTTTTTCCACTCTCATTTATTTTTATCTTATGATAGTTTCAGTGTTAGTAATGTAAACTAGCTACCATATATTATTTTTTTTATTATAAATAATGACTTCAGAATAAATACTGTATGTTTAATTCTCGAATTATATTTTTCGTTTTCTTTCTGTCATCCATTTTTGACTTTTTTATTTGTTTAATTATGTTCGGATATTTTAGAACATGTCATGCTATCACGTGTTTTCTTATCTGGTATTTTATTGGCATTTAAAGCACTTAAATTATGTAATGTTTAATGTACATTATATATGTGTAAAAGTCTATCATAGTTGTGGACAAGCTCCTGGTGTCTATAAAATGCTTCCACGCCATGCGTCTCAATTATTCTCTTACTACAAGCCGGAGCAGAGTCGATGGCGGGCCACTGGCGCCTCACAATCAGCTAACCTGTACCCTGGAGAAGTCACTCTAGTCATAACATCAATGGACTGAATTTTAACGAAACAAGGATCTAAATTTTTATTTGGCGAGATAAACGAATTTCTACGATGTTTATATATATATATATATATATATATATATATATATATATATATATATATATTGGAATTATCAGAATGACTTTCTTTCCCTGAAACCTGTCTTTGAATATCAGCATGGACTGTTTATCAATGATGTGACATGGGGAGGCAATCGCACCCGCAGAACTACTGTTTCAAAACCATTTCATGGTTCGAACCAAACCCGGTTACTTAATTTGGGTAGTCTCTCCCTCTCTCTCTTGAAAGCCATCGATGGTTGTGCAATCACGAAAACATAAGATACTGTTGCCAAGGGTTTTACCGATTTTCAATTCTCCCCCACAAGCTGTAACAGTATTAATCATTGGCGGTCCCTTTGGGTGGGGAACAAGCACAAAATGAGCCTAAGCAGCAATCGGCAGGTAAAATTGGCTAGCCACTCAAGCCACGGGGAGTGCTAGTTAAAGAGTAACCAGTCATTATCTATCTATCTATCTATCTATCTATCTATCTATCTATATATTTATTTAACTAGCTAGCTAGATCAGTTCATTTTTTTTAATTTCTAACTTATAGGCATTTAGAGTTTGAACCCGTCATACCAGATCCACAGTGTCGACTCATTACCATTTCCTACAGGTTCTAAATGGAAGAAGAAAGTACCACTATTGAGTTTCTCCCAAGAACTACCACGTTGTAGAACCTGAGTGTGATTGCTTCAAGCTTGACCCATTCAAGTCAAACTTCAATTATGTTTTATCCTCCATATTCTCTTGTTATTCATTTTATATAGCCTACATTATTCAGCATTAAAACTTTGGCAATAAGCGACTCTCGAGATTAATATATGGGTAAATTTTAAAAAAACTATTTCAATTTGTGCATATTTACCTATGTATGAAATCTAAATGTTGGCGGGATTTCACTACAAGCAAACTTTTGGAAATGGGAAATTTGACTTCGGGCTGTACATGTTCGATTGTATCATCTCGAAGGAGACTGTTTAAGCTACGAATTTGTAGGTATGTATGTCAGTTTTCAGGGTCAGATTACCCAGCCTTTTAGAAAGTACCTAGTATACAAATGGTGAATGACAGAGGGAGAGAAAGAAAGTGAGAGTGATATCACTTTGGCGGAACATGAACTTTCTAAATAAATATTTTCATCCTTTTATGTAACGTGTCCCTACAGAATGTAGGAGATCTTGGCTCTCTAGAAGTTTCTCGTAGTTGGTGTATCTTTACTATTCCTCTCAGTCTCATCTATTCCATTTACATAAGCTCTTTAGGGAGGATACTTGTGGTTTTCTACTTGCTCCTCTTGCCGTCAATATGTTCTGTGAAAATCACATTCTCTAATTGTTCTTTCATCAGTATGTGTACCACAAATTTCATCTATCTCATTCTGACACCTTTTATCCCAGTTTTTTCTTAAATATTCCCCGTTGTGCACATGTTCCGTCCATAGTATTCTCAGCATCCGCCCGTGAAACAACATCGCTTTTGTTTCATGTTTGCTCTTTATCTCTGAGGAAATTTTCCAACATTCATGGTGTTATGATGAAATTGATATTACATAGTTCAGTTCAGAACTCTTTTCGTTGTTTGTAATTATTTGACTTTTTTAATATGTTCTCAATGTGTCATTGCAAGAAAAATCGTAATACTTTAACAGTCTGCTAAAAGAGTGTTTTCGTGAAATAGTTAATTACTATAATTAAAAGGGGGTTAAATCATATCTGACAAAATGTTTCAAACTGTCGTTAATCAACAGCTTGTGAAGAATCTGTTGCCAATTATTCACCAGTTGCAACGATCGGCCTCTTAAAATGTGACAAGTTCGATGAAACACTGAAATATACATGTTACACAAATTAATCCCGACAGGTTTTCTTGCAAATGTCAAAACAGATTTGGCGGTATTACATTTCAATAAAATGTATTCATTTACATCTTCTACAGAAATACATGTATCCCCTAGAAATTGTTTGCAATAATAATAATAATAATAATAATAATTGTTATTAGAAACCATAAACAAACAAAAAAATATTGCTATGGCAGTCCCTGCACACTGCAATGTATCTTAGAAGATATTCAAAAAGCAGTCAAAATACAAGTACCTTGAAATAGAAATCTCAAAAATGTGGCACATGGAACATCAACAATCCCTGTTGTAGTTGGTGTCCTCAGATTGGTTGGAAAAGATTGCAGTAGACTAATTGAAGGGATTCCTGGAAGTCCATGCCTCAAAGAGATACAAAAATTGTTCT